CATGCTCACCGCGGTCCGGCAGCACCACGTGCGCGTGCAGCTCCTGCAGCTGCTGGTGCAGCAGGTCGAGGCGGCGCGCCGAGCCGCGCAGCACCAGCTCCACGGGGCCCAGGTTGCGGCCCAGGTCGGTCGTGGCCCGGCGCAGGTTCTCCGCGCCCTCCTTCAGCTTCAGCTCCTTGCGGATCTCCCGCCGCAGCCGCTCCCGCTCCAGCTCCAGCTGCTGCTGCACCCCGGGAGCCGCCAGGTCCGCCCCGGCCAGGCCCAGCTGCTCCAGCAGGGACCAGCTTCGAGGCTCGCTCTGCGGGGAGTGGGAGGGCCGGGGTCAGGGGTCAGGGGTCAGGTCAGCTTCCCCCTGATGCCAGCCTTCTCCCTATCCCAGGATAGGAACAGCTCTGAACCCCCATAGGGAGGTGATGCTTGCTGACCTCACTCCTCTGGGAGGTCAAGGGCAGGTCAAGGGCAAAGCCTGATCTAGATATATAAGATAGATATAGACATATAGATATAAGTTTTAACCCTTGCTACCAGGCAGGTCTCTACCACTTGAGCCATGCCCCCCACACCAGCAAAGCTTTACCTGTCTCCAGACCAGGGACACCCAGAGGTGCAGACCTGTCTCCTCTGGCATTGGAGCCTCACCTCACTTCCACAAGTTCTACCTCTGCTGTACCCCTTACCCTGTCAGCTGTGCCCCAAACCATAGGTCACAAGGAGAGGCCCTGTGGTCCTTCTACTGGACCCCTAAACCAGTTGTCTGAACCAGGCCTCATCTCTTGGCTGTACACCCCAAACCCGGTGTTCTCAGGGGCAGATGTCATCTTTCCTGTGCGGAACCCTCAAACTAGGAGGTCCTGGGGGCAGGTTCTGTGTTCCCTGTGCAGTACCCCCATACGAGGAGGTCCCGAGAGCAGGCTGCCTTCCCTCCTGGTGCAGAACCCCATCTCCTTCCTCCTGTGTGTCCCCAGCCCGTGAGCCACAAAGGCCCCCCCCAGATCTCTAACTCGGTCCAGCGCCCCATTACCGCCTCTCCTCAGTCCCAAAGCAAGACACACACAAGATAGAACCCCCAACTGGTGCCTACCCCCTTCGGGGACTCAGTGCCCACCTCCAGCTCCTGTTCGGAAGGGGGGTCAGCCGCCATCCCGGGTCTGGACTGGGGCCCCGCCCTCTTCCTGAGCCTCAGCCCTGCCCCGGGCCTCTGAGGCCACCACTTCCTCTTTCCTGCCAGCTCCCAGCACGCAGTGCGGCAGGCCAGCTCCGGGGCACCTGCGATCGCCTTCCCTTGGCCAATCGTAAGGGCCATGCGTGCTTCTCCCAAGGCAGCCCAGGGGCACCCTGAGCCCGTGTCCACCACATAGTGTGCTAGGACAGGCTGCCTTGAGGGTACACAGGCTCCAAGAATGGTGCAGGGGGGGGAGGAGGGGGCCGGGGGGGCCGGGGGGGAGTGTTCATCAGCTATAGCACAGATTCACAAGTGTGCCCACCTTCCGGGCTCACCCATGCCCACCCCCACATGCCAGATGCCAATGGAGGCATCCACATGTCACGTGTCCGCGTGGACATAGCCCATGCCCACGAGCATTTCCACACACGTGTGCACACTTCCTGGACCCTCCCCCTTGGTGTCCCACTCTGCTACAGCCAGACCCACCACCTGTGCCATGTCCCCAACGTCCCCTTTAGGAAGGGAAGGAGAGGTCCCCTTCCTGCTAGCCATCCTGACTTCCTGCTTCCTCCCCTCCAGACACCCATGGCTGCAGTCCTGAATGTCCAGGCAGAAGAAGAATGACACCCCCCACCTCCCCACCCCGCCCCCAAAAGGCACAGGAAAGCTCCACCCTTAAGAATGGCAGGGTTTGTGAACACACTTGGATCGGAGAGCACTTACTGGCCTGCTGTGGATGGCTTCTGTCTCCCGCATTGCAAAAACTCTTCCCAAAAAGCATAGAGACAGGGGTCAGTCCTAGCTACTCTGGAGGCTGAGATCTGAGGATCTCGCCTGAAAGCCAGCCCAGGCAGGAAAAGTCTGTGAGACTCTTCTCTCTAATGAACCACAAAAAACCGGAAGTAGAGTTGTGGTTCAGGTGGTGGCGCACTTGCCTAGAGCAAAAAAAAGCCCAGAAGCAGAGCCCAGGCAGAGTTCAGGCCCCGGGAAGGCAAGGGTCAAGCCACACAAGGCACAAGGCATGGTCTCTCACTCCTGTAATCCCAGCCACATGGGCAGTAGAAATAGGAAGCTTCAGGTTTGAGAAGAACAAGAGAAAATAAATACACACACACACAGACACACACACACACAGACACAAGGACACACAAAAGAGAAGGGATCCTGCCTCCAAAACAAATGGAAACCAGAAGGATCGGAGATGTACCTCAAATGGTAGAGAACTTGCCTAGGCTCCATCTCCAGCTCTGGGAGTGCAAAGTGGCATTGCTCAGGGGTGCAAATGAGCATCCAGAGCACACATGACAGCACCCATGGCCAAGAACTTTCTAGTCCCTAGTCTAACAGTGCTTTGAATTAAGGAACAAGGGGCCTAGAGTCTGGGCAGCCAAATGAAACACACAGAAGATATCACCCCAATCCTGGCTCCATCTCTTCTCCCTCCCCGCCACGGAACCCCAGTTATCCCCTGGTATTTGATAAGAGATTCAGGCATTTGGGAGGAAGAGCCAATGCTGGAATTTCAAACTCAGGTTTGGTTTGATGCCTGGCCCAACCAGGCCTGGCCCCACTGCCCCAAGGCTAGCCCCACCCTGTCCCCAGCAGGCAGAGCAGGGACACAGCCAGGAGCGGGGCCAGCTGGAATGGGGGCAGTTCCAAGCAGAGGGGAGGAGCAACCGCCTGCGGCCTCACCTCAGTGGCTGAGGCCTGAGAAGATGTAAAACAGGAGTGAGGGAGGCCGGGCCTCCAGGGTTCTCTTCCCGAGGGTGACTCACAGCTACTTCGGGAGTTACCCCTGGGCCGGCAACACAAACCCGGGACCAAGGCTGGGCCTCAGAGCTGCATCGGCCACAGGAGATGAGAAAACAGCAGGCCCCGAGTGCCCACCTCCCAGGGTACTGGGGGGGACCGAACCCCCCAACCATCCTGAGATTCCAATGTCTTGGGCGTTTCCGGAATCTACACAGGACATCCGTTTGCCGGACACAGAGCAGACAGCCACACATCGTGGGGACTGGGGAGCCAGCCCTAGCAGCCACGAAAAAGGGGTGGACAGGAGGGGACGAGACAGTGACCAGGGCTGGATGGGGGGGAAGGACAGAGCACGGTGCCAACCTCATTCCGGGAAGCACAGCCTCAGTTTCCTGGGTGGCACAAAACCACCAGGTTACATGCATGAGCTGGGGGGGGAGGGTTGTAGGCTGGGGTCCCACCAGAGGTCTGACCTTGTGTGACCGGCAACACCAGATACGCCCAGCTCCATGGCAAGGCTGGCAGGCCATCAGCAGGACTGGGGGGAGGGGGGACACAAAGGGGGACAGGGCAGACACAGAGGGGGCGGTGGGAGAGAAGTACAGGAGACAGAACCTGGTTACATAGCTGCCGCAGACCAGGGACTGAACGATGACCTGATCACTCACAGATCTGAGATTGGGGAGGAGGGGGGTGTCTCTGAACCTAAGAGGGTCTTGGGTGACCCTGGTCTCCTGCCCCAGGAAGAGGGGAGTCTGGGCCGGGAATATCTAGCAGGTGACACACAGGGATAATAACCTGGCTGGTGCCTGTCACCTACATCCCCACACGGAGGTGAAGGGTGACCCAGCCCTGTTACCTGTCCATACAGGTAAGATCCAGGGCACAAAACATGGGACAACACCCCCGCCCGCCCCCCGTTGACCAAGCCAGCCCCCACCTGGGGCAGCCGGAAGGGTGGGGAGGGGACCCCAATCTTCTAACCTGTCCCAGTAACCCCAACCCCAGTGACTGCGGCACTTCCGCCAACAGGTGCCCATCTGGGTGGCGTCGTAAAGCCGTCTGGTGGAGGGGGTGGCAGGGGCTTTGTTTTATGGGGGAGAGGCCGGGCCGGGCACCCCGCCAGCCACCTGTCCCAGGTGGATCGGCACCTGCCGGGATCCGAACGCGGGCGGGAAGGGGGGCAGCAAGAAGGGGGAGGCGAGAGAGAGCGGGACGCCACAGCCAGCCACGGACACCCGGAGCGGGGGGCCTCCGCCGCACCCCTCGATTCCAAGAGAAAAGACCGAGGTTTAGGGGTGCCGCCAGAGCCTCCGAGGCAGCACCCCCGAATTTGGGACCCGGTCCTTGCCGTCACCTACCCCGAAGGGGGCCTCGCGGGCTCCGGGATCCCCGCCCAAGGAGGGGACCCGGGTGGAGTGGGGGGGCCTCGGGCGACCCCCACCCTCGCCACGCGGATCCAGGATGAGGGGGGCGAGGGGACCCCGGTATTCCCGCGAGCGGGGATCCCCGGCGGTCGCCTACCTGCACGGCGTCGCTGGCCATGTCCTCCGGCCGCCCGCCCGCCCGGGGTCCCCGCGCGGAGGGAGGGAAGGAGGGGCGCGGAGCCGAGCCCAGCGCGCGTGCGCCCCGGGCGCGGCGGCGAGGGGCGGTGGGCGCGGCGGGACCCCGCGCGGGCGCGCGCTCCGCTCCGGCCTGCTCCGCTCCGGCCCCGCCCGGCCAGGCCGCGTCCGCGCGCGCCGCGCCCTCCGGCCCCAGCGGCCGCCGGGCCGGGTCACGTGACCCGCGGCGGAGGTCGGCGCCCGGGGAGGGGGCGGGGCGCCCCGGTGGAGGGCGTGGCCCCGTCGGGGGCGGGGCTTCCCTGAGGGGCGGGGCTTGGGCGTCCCCCGGAGCTGCGCGGGGACCCTCGGTTCCCACCGCGGCGTCCCTGCTCGCCTCTCCCCGCACCCCAGAATCACCGCGGCCCCCGCCCGAGGGGGACCCCGTTAGAGCCCGCGGGAATCCCTAGGACGGCCGCTTCCCGGGGCCGCCCCGTAATCGACGGTGGAGAGGTGTCCCTCCCCCCCCCCCGCGGCCTGGAGACCAGCTCAAGCTCAACTCCCAGCGCCCCAAGCCTCGGGGGAGCCCCGAACCCCTAAACGAGCTCTCCGTCCGTGACGGGGGGATGATGCCGGGGCTCGATGTCACCCGGGGTGGCCCGAGTCTCCCCCCGTCCGTGCAGTTTGTGGTCGGTGTGGGACCCCTGCACCCTCCCCCCCCCAAAAATAAGTTCTGATGAGAGCTAACCCTCACCCCAGGACGCCCCCACCCCGGGACCCCCACCCCGGCCCCCGGCCCCCGGGCCCTGCGCAGCGGCGCCTCCCGGAACGCGGGCCCAGGACTTTCCCACGGCCCTGCGTGGTGCTGGTTGCCCTGGCAACCAAGGGGCGGGGCTTTCTCCCTTTTCCCTCTGGACATCTTTGCAGGGTTTAACCTAAGCATAGATGAGAAATAGATATATAGATTAGACAGACGGACAATTTACCAACTAGATAGATAGATAGATAGATAGATAGATAGATAGATAGATAGATAGATAGATAGATAGATAGATAGATAGATAGATAGATAGATAGATAGATAGATGTTATTACTGACCTCCCAGCCTCGAATCCGCACACTCTGTTTTCTTCCACAGCCCCAAGGAAGCCAGAGAACACCTGTCGGGCATGTGACTCTCTCAGCCACCTCACACAGGAAAAAAAGAATAATCAAAACATCTACAACAACAAAAGCCCATCACCTCGCCCAGAGACAAGTCCTCCTCCTTCTGCTGCCAGGTTCCAGGCTGCCCTCCTGGGGCCGAGCTGGGGAACCGCGCCAGAGGCTGGCTCCCCGCCTTCCCGCATCCATTCACTCGGGTGAGCATTGAAGTCCATGTGCTCTGGAGAGTTCCTTGGCACTGGGAAGAGTTGCATTCTGGGGCTTAAAAGAGGGGGGTAAGGCATTAAGTGTGCAATATCAACAAAATGCAATCGTAGGGCTATATCCCGGTCATTTCTATAGTCCTTCTTTAGTCCAGGCCTTGGAATCGAATCTCACCAACACTTTTCTGTCCTGGGGGAAAAACTGGCTCTCGGTTCCTAATAATCTAGCAAAAGTTTCTCACCCATCCTCTGGGCAGCAAAGTGGTCTTCTTTCCATTCTTCCCTCCCCACTCCTACCCACCTTTACCGGCCTTCTCATTACTCCTCCAGTCTTCCTGTCTGTCTTTTAACCACTGGGCCTTTGCACTGGCTGGTTACCTACTTGGTAATGACTTTCCATCAAGTCTTGCTAAGGCTTCCACCCCCCCTTTTTTTTTTTGGTCAGTCGTGGGGCTTGAACTCTGGGCCTGGGTGCTCTCCCTGAGCTCTTCAGCTCAAGGCGAGCCTTCTACCACTTCTTGTTTTCTGGTAGTTCATTGGAAATAAGAGGCTCAGAGACTTTCTTGCCCAGGCTGGCTTTGAACCGTGATGCTCTGATTTCAGCCTCCTGAGCAGTGCCCCCTTTCTTTCCAGTTCGACCAGTTTAAATGAGAACACACTTCAGGCCCTGATGTTAATAGCGGTGGCCCTGCTTCCCTTCTTTTGAATAATATTTATTTCTCAAATGTGCTGAGCTGGTTTTGACTTCAGGGCTTTTGCATGAACATAGGTCTGTACACAACCCACCTCAGCCATCTCTTCATTTCCAGATCTAGATGTCTTGGGATACCTAACAGGATGTACAGGTTGCGGTGGTTGTTGTTTTACAATATTCTTTAAAGAATCCTGACCAGAGGGCTGGGAATGTGGCTTTGTGGTAGAGTGCTCGCCTAGCATGCATGAAACACCATAAAAACAGAAAAAGCCAGAAGTGGCGCTGTGGCTCAAGTGGTAGAGCGCTCACCTTGAGCTGAAGAACTGAGGGTCAGTGCCCAGGCCCAGAGTTCAAGCCCCACAATGAACAAAAACAAAAACTAACCAAAAAAGAGGAAAAAAAGTCAGTCCAGGCCATGCTTGAGACTCAAGGCTTCATCTCCAGCACTGCAAAAACATTCAGCCGAGCTACCATTTCCTCCTTAATT